GTTCCTGTGCCCACGTCGCCTCTAGGGGCAGCGACCTCCAGAAACCACAAGCAAAAGAGAAGCCGGGCCGGCTCCTGGGACGTCTGCGGAGGACCCAGTCCACGTCCGACCAAGGGCACTGTCAGCCTCAGGGATGTGGTGGCAGACAGGGGCCGGCACTGCCACCGTAAAGCTGAGTGATGCGGAGAGATGTCCTGCATCCAACAGGGGGCGCCTGTGGGGTGCTGATGTCCCCACAGGACGACCCTGGTGTGAGCAGGTTCCCTGGGGGCGTGGCTTCCTCACAAGCTCCCATCCCAGGACGCCAGCACCAGCCTCTCCCCATGCTGCACGACCATGCATCTGGGCACCCCTTTGATAGTCTGGTGAGGCCCAAAGCCCCTGCCTCAGAATAAAGTATTTGATTTATTCACAAAAAAATTGCGGGGGATATACATAATGTAAAATTTATTTTGTAAACCATTTTAATTCTTGAGACAGGGTCTTGCTATATAGCCAGGGTCTTGCTATGTATGTTGCTTTGAAGTCAGCCTTGAACTCCCAGTGATCCTCCTGCCTCAGCCTCTTGAGTGCTGGGATTAAAGGTGTGTACCACCATACTCGGCACCTTTTTTATTTTGAGACAGGGTCTTGCTAAATTGCCCAGGTGGGCTCCAACTTTTGAATCTCCTGCTTCACACTTCTAGAGTGCTAGTATTAGGGAATGGTGCCACCATCCCGAGTTTAGGCTTTTTGAGAAACCATCAAATATCCACAGTCTCACCCACACTGGATATTTTCTGTTATTTTTTTTAATAGTAGTCCCTCCAAACAGGTATCAGAATCGGTTTCAAATACATAAAATAAGCCAAATGTGGAGGCACATGCTGTAATCCCAGTGCTCTGGAAGACAGAGAGGAGGATCACAAATAAAAACCAAAAGAAGGCTGGAGATGTAGCTCAAAGCAAATGCCTTGGGTTCAATACCCAGAAATTTGGGCACTCTGATGTTGCTCTCCGGGGGTGGGTCCTGTGTCCTGGGCCCACATATGCCCTTGCCGTGCTCTCTCTAGGTGATGCCACTCACGCCCTCTGCCTTCACACCACATCTGTGCCTCCAGCCAGGTACACCTAGATCTTTCCTTAATGACAGCGAGGCCCAGACACACAGAGCTTCTTACTTGTGCCCAGCACAGCTGAGCACTGTGTGAGCCTCTCAGTAGCTGAGTTCAGATTCCCAAGTCCAGCCTGGCCGCACCTAGAGCCCCTGTACATCTTCCCGCCACCCTCCCTCAACCGATCCTAAACGCAGCCCTGCAGGCAGCCCCGTTCTTCTCTCTCCAGTCCCTGGTCTCTCACCCACAGGTCCACGCTGCAGCCCACGCAGCCTGGGCGGGGAGAAAGCAGCCAGTCTAATCCTGGAGACCAGTGTCATCCTCGTCACCCTCCGGCAGGCCCATTCAGTTCGTGCCCCAGTTTGCGTTTCTTCTCACCCTCCCCTCTGCACACCCCTAGACTCAGGCAGTACCCACAGTGACCCTGGAACAGCCCCCACAGGCCTCAGGGTTCTGCACCTAAAGCTCCCCCAAAGCCAGCCTGTGCTTCAGTACCTCTTGCTGTGAGTGTAAAATGTACACAGCCCCACGAGGTCCAAGAGCCCCAGAACCCAGCCCTTGCCTCTCGGCCGCTCTCTTCCCTCATCTCCCTTTTCCCAGTGCTGCCTGGGCGCCAGAAATCCTTAGTTCCTGGAAGGACCACACACTTCCCCACCTCCCCGCCTCCCGACCATCTCGCCCTAGCTCAACCAGGCTTTCGGAACCTAGCTAAGTCCTCCTAATCCCCCACCCTGGCTGCCCATCAGAATCATTTGGGGGCGGCTGACTTGTACCCCAGAATCCCTAGGAGTTGGGCACAAGCACCAGAGCTTGCAACTGATTGACTTGAGAAAAACCAGGCTAAAAGCCTGCTTTAAATCTTGAAAACCTGTGCTGTACTGAGGCAGTGCACCTCCACTGCCCCAACTTCCTCGAACTCCCCTCAACGCACGTCCCGTCTCATCGTCAGGAGTTTAGCTTTTGCTCCCATCAGACTACGTGCCCAGCCAAGGGGGACCAAGTCCGCTTGTTTTCTGCTACATCTTGAAGCCCGGATCCAAAGGTGGCGTCAGTCAGGATTGGTTGCATGAATGTGAAGGTCATTTCAAGGGTAACAGGCAGCTCCCGTGCTTTGAGCCTCTTCCTTCAACAAACTCAGTTGAAATAACAACTTCCTCTTCAAGTACTCAATGTGGCCTCTAACTCCACTAATGTGATTAAAATCAGTGGAATTCAGATTTAAAGTCCTTGTCTCACTGAAATGCAAACTTAGCCTGAAAATACACCATCTTTTCAGAATGTCATTTACACCTTGCCCAAATGATTTTATCAGCTCCTAACAGAGGGATGGGAGGAAGAGTTCCCTATTTAAAAATTATTTCCTGAGGACTGAGCTCAGTATCTTCACATTAAGCCATATCCTTAGCCCCTACCCCCTTAAGAAAAAATTTTTTTTAAACTTTTGAGTCAGAGTCTTACTCTGTCACCAAGTTGCCTAGGCCAGGGCTTTGAGCTTCCAATCCTGCCGCCTCCACCTCCCAACGTGCTGAGATCACAGATACGCACACATTCCTGAGAGCATCCCACACGCCAGGTCCACCCACTAGTTCAGTTAACAGAGCTGACGAAGTGGGAAATGCAGAGCCGAAGTGAAATCTAAACCTGTACCTGCTCAACTCCAGCTGAACTTGGAGGGGAGAAGAGAAGAGCGGGAAAGGACACTGTGAGGACCGGCCTGGGCCCGGGAAGGCCGGCCTCATCTTCTTTGCAGGTGGCCCGGCTGCGTCAGCCTCACCTCCTCCTTGCTCAGCTTTTCTGCCAATGTGTCCTATCAGTGGCCAGTTCTGTCCCCAGCCTCACCGCCTGAGGACTTGCTGTGTGCTCGGATACACAGACACTCAGCAAATACTGCAGAAGGGAAGGCTAGGATTACCTAAGCTTCTCCATCTAACACACCCGACCAAATAACTGAGAAGCCAGTGATTCAGGACACATTTTGTAGCTGGTGTGGTGGAGTACACTAGTAATCCTGTACTTGGGAAGCTGAGGCAGGAGGATGGCTGTGACTTTGAGGCCAGCCTGGTCTACCTGGTCAGTTCAAGGCCAGCCTGAAGTACATCTCAAAATAACAACAACAAAAACAACTCTCAAAAACGAAAGGTTAAATTTTGTGTATGTACTGAGGTTCAGAGTCCTGCCAAATGGAGACACTGGAAATGCTTAATTATTTTCATTATACAAATGCCAGCACATGGTGATATAGCAATAAGTGCACAGCTTGGAGTAGGAGGCCCGGAATCCCAGCTCATCACTTGGAAGCTGGGGATCCAGCGTCTTCTAGCCTCACTGGGTTGTTCTGAAGCTTTGTAGACTGGTCTCAAAGTCCTTACTCTCTTCCTGAGATGAGCAGGGAAATTTCCCCTGCACATTCCCAAGTTCGTCCTCAGACCCAGTGAATCAGCCCCGGGGCTGCAGCCAGGAAATGCATTCTAAACAAGCACTGGACTTCAGGCCGGGCTGCAAAGCCAGCTACAATCTTGCGGCTCAGAGTGTGGTTCCTGGACTGGCTGCACCAGGATCACCCAGGAGTGTGTCATGACTGCACAATCTCGGGTCTGCACCAGACCTTGTCCATGAGACCCCCACGGGTCCCACTGTGAAATACACTGTTCTGCAACCTGCTGAAGGTCCCCAAGGGCCATCTGAAGCCCTGGGGAGGTTTCTACCTGCGGACCAGGGCAGACTTTTCTTTAGTAGGGGATGATTAGGGGTCAGTGGGACTAGGAGGGGAAGAGATTGCTTCTGCAGGGGTGAGTGAGGCTTGGCTTGCCAGGCACGCACATTTTGGCAGGTGGGGGGAGGGCCTGCTTTCTCACTAGGTAGAATTCCCAAGGCACTGGACCTTGAGGTCTGGGGAAATTGTAGCTCTTGGGCAAAGTTAGAGACATTGTTGCTCCTGGATAAGATGACCCTACAAGTAACTAAGCACACTTATTCATAGACATTTTTATATATTTTATTTATTTACTTATTTTTGTTTTTTTGAGACACGGTCTCACTATGTAGTTCACGCGGGTCTTGAACTCACTATGTAGCCCAAATTGGTCTCAAATTTGTAGCAATCCTCCTGCCTCAGCCTCCACAGTGCTAGGATTTACAGGAGTATGTCGGCATGTCAAGCTCATATATACTTTATCTATATATATGTTTCTTAAAAAGCAGCCTTAATGTCATGAAGTTTGGTTTCTGTTTAACTATAAAAGACAAACCAAGGAAAGCTAACTAGAAATAGCCCCCCACACACTCAAAATCTCAACTTTTAGTGAAAAAATTGTTTAACAACAGTCACTATGTCCTCATATAAAGATGACCATCTCAGTAAAGAAGGGCAAAATCAGAGCCTTCGTGGAATTATCTAAAGATGCCTTGCATGTTGAGAGGAATATTTCTCATGGACCTTGAGTCCTGGTTTTTATATAAAAATCAAGACAACTGATTTTTTTTTTTTTTTTTGAGATTGTCTCACTATATAAACCAGGCTAGACTTGAACTAGGTGGCATTATAGATGTGCACCATCACCCCAGTAAGGAAAACCGATTTGGAATGAGCAATTTGATTTAAAATAAAGATCTCCTTTTACAAAATCCTCCCAGTAGTTTCTCTTCTTCAGGATCCTAGTTAGTTCATTCTGTGCTTGCTTAAGCAAGACACATCTTGTTCAGGACAGGTCTAGAAGGGCCCCTTGACGGGGTCCTCTGTCCTCCACATTGATTCTCTGTCCTTCCTACGACCTCTGCTCCTCCTGGAAGCTTGCAGACGCTCCACGAGCACACAGGCCAGGTGAACCCTGTTACCACCCTCCGCGTCCCTGAGCCAGGCACAGGGTGCCTTGGCATCCCTGCCCGGCCCTCTGGGGCTTGCATTACCTGCCAGGTACTCGATCACTGCTGCCATGTAGACGGGAGCGCCCACGCTGATCCGGTACTTGAACGTCCCTTTCTTCAAGTAACGCATCAGCCTCCCCACTGGGAAGATGACTCCAGCCCTCGCTGACCGGGACAGCTTGGACATTTTCTTCTTCCCGCTCCGGCCGGACATCTTGCCTCAGTTTCCCTCTCAGCTTGCTGACACACTGGGCTCCCGACACTGAGGTGGTGCTGTAAAGGAAAGAAGGCAGGCTCACGAGGGGTGGCTGGAAACATCGCGGGCACAGCTGTCCTGGCATGCTGCTGAGACACGGCTGGCTGCTCAGCGGAGGTGGCAGAGAACTGGCTGGTGTGCTGGGGCATGCGTCACTGCAGGGCACCAGCAGGCCCACCCACAAACACCCACCCCCACAGAGTTGGCCAGACCTGAGGGGGTCACAGAAAATTGTGATGGAGAGAGACGTGGTGGTCCTGGGGTCAGCTGAAGGCTCATCCCCAGAGATGTCCACTTCCTCCTCCCAGAACCTGTGGCTGTTACTTTACACAGCCAAAGGAGTTTGCAGATGTGATTATGTCAAGGATCTCGAGCTGAGGAGATCACCCAGGATTATCTGGGTGGCCTAAGGTGATCACTGGGTCCTTACATGACAAAGGCAGGGGATCAGAGAGAGCAGTAAGACACAGAGAGCGGAGGAAACAGACTCTCCCGGGACCTCCAGGACCCACTCTGTCAACATCTTCACTTGGGCCTGCTAAGCCTGACTTTGGACCTTAGAATTGTCAGAGACCAAATCTGTACTGATTCAGGGAGTGTGTGCTTGGCTTATTTTTTTGAAACCTGGTCTCACTGTTGCCAGATGGGTCTCGAAATCAGCCAGCAAGATTCCTGCCTCAGCCTCTAAAGAAGCTGAGCTTGGACCACCGCTCCTAGCACAATAGTTAGCTTGGACAGAACTTGGACCGGATGTGCATTTTTCAGATGGAAATGCTTTTCTAAATTCTCCAATACTGTAGCATTTTTAAAACCAGATACAAAAACAAAACTAAACAAAACAAAACTAAACTAAACTAAGTAAAACAAAGCTACAGCCTGGCCTGGTGGCGCAGGCCTGTAATCCCAGCACTCAGGAGGCTGAAGCAGGAGGATCGTTGCAAGTTTGAGACCAGCCTGGGTTACAAAGTGAGCTCAAGGCCAGCCTGAACTGCAAGGCCAGTCTGAACTGCATAGCGAGACCTGGTCTTATAAAAAAAAAAAAGAAAGACAAAAAACCAAAAACAAAACAAAAGCAGATCCAGGCCACAGTGGTGGTTTTATTACATATACTTCTGCAGAGTAATCAGACAGCAAATGAAAGCGGTAATATAACCTAAGTTCCCATTCCTTGGACTGGGGAATCTAGATTGATTTTTGGGGAGATGTGATGGTTGATACATAGTGTCAACTTGAGTCTAGAGGCTTGGCTAAGTGACTCAGCAGTTCTACTTCCTGGGGTGAGAAGGACAGGCCCTTACAGCTCTGGGATGTTGTTCATTGTGTCAATCTGAGAAATTTAGAAGGTTAAACTAAGCGACTCAGCAGGGGCCAGGTCCTTACTTTGTATCATCCTGAGCCTGGGCAGGAGGAGGGCGTGGGGATTACCTGAGTGCTACATGCCCCTGGGTGGGGTAGCCTGCTTACAATATAAGGGAGGGAAAGAGGCTTGTTTCCCC